CGCAGTCTCGTGAGGGCGATGTTAGCACCTGTCACATCGTAGTCATCACCTGTGCCACTGTGGCAGCTTGCCTGGTCGTCATCACACTCATCTGATGGAGTGGTGCTCGGGACAGGTGTGGTGGGCGGGGGTGTCAGGACTGTGGAGAGGAAGAGGAAGAGGAAGAGGTGAGACAGAAGAGATGAGTTTTAACAGTGATGTGGAGGTTGAAAAGGACAAGTTGACACTGTAGTAAAAAAAAATCACTGAAATACTGAATCTGTATGTTTTAAAATACTAATAAAATACTAATAAATAAACATTCAAAACATGGTTCATTTAATTCCTACAGCTTGATGAAACCCAATTTTCATCAATGGGTACTGATGCGATACATCAGGACCCATTTCTCTCGCTACGCTAACATGGTGGTTACATCATAGTCTAGAACATCAGAAATCTGACTTCTGCCTAGGAGTCATAATGAAGGGCAAAAGTTCCCAAAAAACCAAATGCTCCGTTGACAACTAGTTCCCACATGAAATGTAACCATGAAACACTGTAGATTGAGGACGTCGTAAAACGAGGACCCTCTGTATTAGATAGAAAGGGAAATTACTAGCTAAGTAAGCTAGGAAATAACACACAAGTACAACTGCTATATAAAACATGTACAGAAGTACAATAACATGTGGTCTACAAACACCTAAAACAAATAATACTTTCAAACTGTGGTGTTTCCCTTTAGTCTGTGACAGTGGTAAAATGCACTGAACTTCTCTCAAATATAAATGTAATCAAATTAAATATAAAACCAAAGCCACTGCAACGCACGGATGTTTAATTTAGTTTGGAAAACTAGTTGAACTGAAGTAATACTTCAGACTCTAAGTGCTTTGGTGACAAGAACGTTCCACTTTGCGGTGTTTAATGTGCTCAGGTTAGTACAGACGTAGAGTGAGACTTGGTTTTCTGGAAACTATTTCCTGATGTTAACCCAACATAGTAGCATTGCAATTTATTACGGCCTCTTTGTGTGTGTGTTCGTGCGGCGTATAAATAGAAGAGATAAAACGTAGTACTTCTGAGCTTGGGCAGCTAAATCTGAGAGATGCCAAAAGTAAGTCAGGAACCGGCTGTAGGTTGGGTCCCGGGCTGCCGCACTGGCCTATCATTATGGCCATGTTGCAGTCAGATGTGGGCAAAACCATAGATTCATGCCACACTCCGCTGCTGCGGTGTGTGTGTATTTATGTGTGTTTGCACTGACTGACTGAGTAACGAGCTCGGGCTTCCCCAGTACGGAGGTAGAGCAGGGGGAGAGGAAGGAGGTGAGGAGTGGGGAAGGCCCAGACGGAGATGGGCTAACTGCTGGAGAATGTATTTGTACTCTAATCTGTTTGTGTGTGTTGGTGTGTGCACGCTCCCTCTGCTGGATGAAATATGAGGCAGACCAGCCCCTGTCAGACTCAGGGTAAGGAAGGTCAGGTGTGGGGGTCAGCATTGCGTCAGGGGAGCCTCTCACAGAAATGAGGACTTAGCGCTCCCTATCTGCTACCGTGGCACAAACACAGGCCTGGGGACACACCTGCGCCTGCGACGGCGGTTGTGTACACATGACTGTAACCACATGTTTGGCGACGGCGTTTGTGGTTTCATTGTGTTTAGGTCTGCGTTGGTGTTTAGTATTAACACTGAAAACAAACATCATCGTCTGACTAAGCCGCCTCCCAGTGGGAGTCCACCAGGTTTATGAAGGAACAGGCCTGGATGAAATCCAATATGTAAATCGGCCAATGACCAGTGAGCTACGAATTTCCCTGAATTTTTTAGTTTATTCTTATCTGCTTGAAAAAAAACACAGGTCATTTCAAAGATAACATAAACGTGAGCACGGTCCTTTGAAAGAAGAACCGCACACAGATTGGGAAGATTGTGATGTGGGTCACTGAGTGGCATTCTTATCTGCTTGCTTTGATGCGACCAGACAAGTGTCTCTTACAGAGATAAAAAGCAGGAGCTGAACAGCTGTGAGCCCGCACATACGGAGCCTCTCTAAACAACATGAGCCAGACGACTACAGTATGTAGGTGTGTGTGTGCGTCAACGTGTCAGATGTGAACGCACACACTCAGTCAGCTTGTAAATTAAAGTGCTAATAATAGCCCTGTAACCTTGCAAGGAGTTAAGTGCCAGAAAATGGATGCATATCCATGGAAGCTAATTTTGCTCTCTACGACAAAAATAAAGCACTGGAAATCAAGGGAAAAAAAACTTTGTCTTTAGATGTCACTCGCAAATTCTGCATCTAACTCTAAGAACATTTTTTTCATACCATGTCAGAGGAAGTTCTGAGTTCCCTTTGCTGTCTTAAAGCCCAGGTATGCCTGCTAATGTGTCACGGCTATAGATGGACTGAGCAGAGTCAGTAACGTCAACACCAGGAGGAAGTGACATCAATACTACAACAGCGATTGAAAGCATTTGTGCTGTTGAGAAACGTCTCCAGAAAAGACACCGACACAACAGCTTTAAATAGGCGTTCGAACTCGGATTCAGTTTACCTTCAATTTCGCAGCCCAGAAGCTCAAGCCGCAAGCCCATGCCATTAGTTGTAGCTCTCTCTGGATATATTCTGATGAAGCGAGTCAGCAGGGACTCCAGTGTCCTCAGCTCAGGAGTGTCGTAGTTGTTATTTCCTTCGAATATCTGGGAGAGTTGAGAATATTGGAGAGAGACAGAGAAAGAGAGAGAGAGAGGAGTGAATGAGAAAAGACATTGACACTGCTGGGCGTTTCATGCAGATTCCCCGAGGCACACTTTCATTCCTGCCTCCTTAAAAGTAGCAGTGGGGGCGGATGGGTGGCATGTGCTGGGGCAGGTGGAAAGACGGGAAAGAACAGAGGACAACCAGATTTCTCTCATCTTGCTGACTTCTAAAGCACAGCTCACGCAGGTGGCCGGTGGCAAAGACAGCCCGGTGCTCGTTGCAGTCAAAAGCAACTTTCAGCCTCTGTGACTCTGCTTCAG